ATGACTATCTATGAAAATATTCGTTTTGGTAAATTAAATGCAACACAAGATGAAATTGAAGAAGCAGCAAGAGAAGCAAATGCACATAATTTTATCATGCAATTACCAGATGTTTGCATTTAATAGTTATCTCTATCTATGCACGTATGTTTATTTTATGATATCTTATTTAGAAATATGAAACACTCGTTGGAGAACGTGGTATCCAGTTAAGTGGTGGTGAAAAACAACGAATTGCATTAGCTCGAGCTCTTGTAAAAAAGCCTACGTTTCTTTTATTGGATGAAGCAACAAGTGCACTCGATAATAATAATGAAAAAATTGTTCAAGAAGCACTCGATCGAGCATGCAAAGGTAGAGCTCGTTTTTTTCTGTTTCTTGAATAGATACTATACCATTATGAGTATATAGGTCGTACAACTATTGTTATTGCTCATCGTTTGACTACGATTCGAAATGCTGATCAAATATATGTGTTTGACAAGGGAAATGTGGTTGAGCAAGGTACACATGACACATTGATGGGAAACGAAGGAGGAAAATATCAAGAGTTGGTCAAACGACAACAAATGGAGAAAATTGATGATGATCAAGATGATCCAATCAAAATGCAAAAAGCAAAAGAGGAAGAAGAAGAGGCGATAGGCATGTGTATATTATAATACTAATTGAGTTTAATATCTTCTGTATTTTCTCTTATGCAGCTGAACGATCTCGTTTAATTAGCGATACACAAGCTGTTGTTGATGGGGAAAAAGTACATATATACTTGTGCCATTCTAATAACAATCATTATTAAACATATATCATTTCTGATTTAGACAAGCTCAAAATCATTTATACAAAGATTTGTTCTGTTAAGACTGTTATCAATGAATGGATCTGAATGGAAAACCATATTCATTGGTTGTGCGGCATGTTTATTTAGTGGAGCATCTCAGCCATTATTTTCCGTTTTCTATGCTAACGTCGTAGGGGTGAGTAATCGATAGATATAAATTGAGTGAATAGATATTGATAATATGCATCATTTTTTGTTGATGGGTTTATTATATAGGCATTCGGTTACTGTTCGATACGAGAACGACGTAGTCATGTACTGAACGCCAGTCTTGTTTTTTTGATTTTTGGTGGAATTTTATTAGTTCTTAATTTCCTCCAAGTAAAAGTGTTGCATCTGCATTTAACTGATGATATATTAGTATTTTCTTTAGTATACAGCTTTTGCAATAGCAGGATCGCAATTAACACAACGAATTCGGTCAAAAGCTTTTGGTTGTCTTCTTCGTCAAGAAGTTGCTTATTTCGATCAATCTGAAAACACTTCTGGTGCGATTAGTGTTCGTCTTTCTTCTGATGCAGCCGCCGTTCAAGAAATGGCTGGAACTCGATTGGGAGTCATCTGCCAATCTCTAGCACTAATGCTTTTTGGCATTGCCTTTGGTTGTTACATAAATTGGCAATTAACATTTATTGTGCTTGTTTCTCTTATTGTGATGATATTTTTAACTTTCGGAGATATGAGCTTACGTGTTTGGCAGGGCAAACAAAATGATAAAATTATGGGACGAGCAAGCACAGTAAGATCATTTTATAATGGATAAATACATTTTTAGGAAAAATTATTTTATTATATAATCTAATTAATAAATTAAATATAACATTCCTTCTTTGTTTTACTTCTTTAGTTAGCTGTCGAAGTTATTCACAATATGCGCACAATAAAACAGTCGTCGGTGGAAAAGGAAGTTTTACGACAATACTCTGATCTCATTTATGAAGCAGTTCGGTTAGTTAATCCCATGTTTTGCATACATTTAAGCGTCTATATCTATCCTATTTTGTTTCCTATAGATTGTGTCGTATGACTATGGTACCAATATCTGTACTAAGTGGTATATACTGGACAATTGATGTTTACACTATGGCATTTGTCTATTGGCGTGCTCTCGTTCTTGTTGAGGAGAAGCAGCTGACTTCTCACCATATTATAATGTAATTGAAACATAGTTTGATAATTAAGAGACACTAATCGATGAGATTTTCATTTTTTTAGGGTCGTTGCTTATTCTATGTTTGCTCTACAAGCAATAAAATTGATGGGCATGCTGTAATCATTTCTCTATCCCTAATTAGCTTTGTTGTCTTCTTCAACTAGTTCTATTCTAGCTCATACCGTATCGCTGGATCAGTATCTGCTGCTCAATCGTTTTTCAATTTATTTGATCGAATACCAACTATTGATAATGGATCTGATGAAGGACAAGAATTAGTAAGAAAACATAGAATATTAGCTACTTTATGTTCATCATGTACATGTCATTCATATCATATGGTTTATGTAGGATGATTTTCATGGAGATATTAAATTCGATGACGTAAAATTCATCTATCCTACTCGACCAACATCTGTTGTTCTTAACAAATTTCAATTAAATATTATGCCAAGTAAGTCAGACAAGCTTTGATTGAATCACTTTTTTGATACATTTGATTGATAAGGTCAACGTGTGGCTCTTGCCGGTATGCTTAATTTTCATGTTGTTATTGAGTATTACTCATGAGACATAATCGCTATAGGTGGATCGGGATGTGGAAAATCAACAACAATTCAACTGTTACAACGATTCTATGACGTCAAAGAAGGCCAAATAGTGAGTTATTCTGGAATAGATGATTTCTGCAGTTACATACCTTTCATTCATCCGATCTAGCTTCTTGATGGTGTCGATATTCGACAGCTAAATATTCATTGGGTGCGCTCTCAATTCGGCCTTGTTAGTCAAGAACCAATTTTATTTGATTTAACAATTGCTGAAAACATAGCATATGGCTTAGAAGATGTTTCGATGACTGACATCATTGATGCAGCAAAAAAAGCTAACATTCATCAATTTATTGAACAATTACCTGACGTAAAATACTAATAAGTTATGTAGTGCACCGTTTATTGTTGTGTGATATTTGTTTTAGGGCTATGAAACCAAAGTAGGAATCAAAGGTAGTTTTCTATCAGGTGGCGAGAAGCAACGTATTGCTATTGCTCGAGTTCTTATTCGTCGTCCTAAAGTATTGCTACTAGATGAAGCTACAAGTGCTATGGATTCACAAAATGAACAAGTAATTTTCCTACGCACCGATCGTTGTTTCATCTTCATTTGTCATTGATAGATCGTACAAGAAGCTCTTGAACATGCTCAAATAGAAGATCCTAGTCGAACATCACTGATTATTGCTCATCGTCTCTCGACTATTCGTTCATGTGATTCAATATGTGTAGTTAATAAGGGAAAAGTAATCGAGAGTGGTACTCATACAGAGTTGACACAACAACGTGGTGCTTATTATAAAATGCTTACTCAAAATCATTAGCAAGGAATTACTCTAACATTGAAAGAAAATTTTTAAACATTAAGAGAAGCTCTATCTGAAAAGCTCTCAAACACAATAGAGTAGCATGTGTGAATCTGATCAAGAATTGTTTTAGTTTTGATGAACTGAAATTTTCAATAGAATTACAGGATATTCTTGTTATTTTTAATTTATTAGTCATGTGTGAATATATTAACTACAATCAAGCAGAAATAAAATGATTTCTTTATGAAGTATTAACATTCAAGTTTTACAGTACATTTTAAAACTAAGGAGGATCAAATATTTTTAATTGATATAACTAATTCTTATGATCAATACGGTATTGTTTAACTAGGATACATTAGTTGCATCACGTAATTATCATATTTCAAAGAAAATTCAACACTGATCTAACAAATCTATAGGCCGTGGAGCTTCTAACAACTACTATCCTCACATTCGCCGTAGGATAGAGACCATCGAGCAATACTTGGAGCAGTTTCCCAGGCGAATCGAGTGTCAACTTCGCTAACCTATAAACATGAACTCATATCAAGCTCTGAGATCAAATTAGGCTTTACCGTTAAAAAATGAACCCATCGATGTAAATGTTTCATTCATGTTGTATCTATTCAGCTAGGTAAGATATTGCTTCCAATAAAGCCATCAAAAGTTTTCCGCAATTGTTATTATAATTACTTCATAATAAATAATTTAGTCACTTATATCAACTGATGACAGGTATTTATCTAAAGTGAACAACTAATTTTTTTATTGTTCATATATTATGGTCATCATGTCCTTAGTTTTAAAAAATATCAAACGTGAAAAATCAGCATAAACCGACCTCTTTCGATTGACATCATCGAAAGAATAATCAACACAGCCAATGTGAATAATAAATTTTTTCTGTTCTGTATGATAAATCACATGGGAAAATGTACCAAAAATTTGCTGGGATACTAGTCTAAAAGTTTATTTAGTAACAAAAATCCTATATTTTTAATTTTCATTATTCATTAATGATTCCCGGTGCGATTAATTTGCAAAGGTTAACCTAAATTGAAACAAAATAATCTTTGAGTTAAATTATAATTCTTTCACAGATTATTACAGCCAACAACGGGTGAAGTTGAACGTGTTGTAGTACCTGAACTCGATAATTTACTCAAACTTGATTCATATCTTGAACCATATCAAGATGAAATTCGACGACGGTAAAATAAATCTATTAAAATCAACAATTAATCTTTTGTATTTAGTTATTATGTCTTTCAACAAATTCTTAAACGACTTGAAACTGAAGAACAAGGTGTCGACCATTTTACATCTGCATATAAACATTTTGGTATTCATGTTAATCCTCAAACAAATGAGATAAATATTAAAGAATGGGCACCTGGAGCAAAAGCAATGTATATTCGTGGGGATTTTAGTTTGTATTTAAAACATAATATATACTTCGCTATTATGGTAGTTTTTTTTCTCTTTTATAGATAATTGGAAAGAACGAGAATATCCATTTACATGCGATCAGTGGGGTGTATGGCGAGTGACAATTCCACCGTTGTCCGATGGATCTACGACTATTAAACATGGGCAAGCAATTAAAGTAGAGATGAAAATATAAATCTCATCTAGTGTAAGTTGTTGATAAATTTTTATTTTAGTTACTTCTTGAAATCGGTAATGGTCAATTAGTTGATCGTCTGTGTCCATGGTCACGTTATGTACAGCGAGCAGAAAAATCGTCTGTTTATCATGGTGTATTTTACAATCCTCCGATTGATGAAATTTATCAATTTAAATATTCTCAACCAAAAAAACGTGATCGATTGAAAATTTACGAAGCTCATGTAGGGATTAGTTCACCAAAGCAAGAAATTGCTACGTACAAAAATTTTCGGGTTAATGTTATTCCTCGTATTGTTAAACAAGGTCTATTTTTAAAATTGAACTTTAAAATTCTTTTGAACAAATTTTCAAATATAGGCTATAATACAATTCAAGTAATGGCTATTATGGAACATCCTTATTATGCTAGTTTTGGTTACCAAGTAACAAGTTATTTTGCTGCATCAAGGTTTTTAATAAAATTAATGTATCGATTTTTATTAGTCTACTTTATTTCCTAGTCGGTATGGTACACCTGAAGAATTAAAAGCATTAATTGATGAGGCGCATAAATATGGCTTAGCTGTGCTACTTGATATTGTTCATAGTCATAGTTCTACAAATGTAGTGGATGGACTTAATATGTTTGATGGTACAGTTGGTTGTTTCTTTCACGATAGTGCACGCGGTTATCATACCCTTTGGGATAGTCGATGTTTTAATTATTTAGAGTAAGTTTCTACATTTTAGAAAACATAAATCCAGGCAATACGAATGAAAGCCAAATTTTTTGTTTGATTTATATTCTGGTAAGAAAACATTCAATTGCCATCAGATAATATTGTTACTAAAAAAACTAATAAGTTTAAATTCTGAAAATCTGAAATAAGAAAGACTTGATACAGAAAATTAGTTTCATTGGCTTTAGTTATCTAAAAAGTCAGCACTTACAACTATTATATTTTCTATGTTTTACTCTTGTAAATGTCCTGGTAATCTTATTTTTGTTCCTGATGTCCGCAATTTCAAGTTCAATGTTGTTGTATCTAAGCTTCACAGTCGTACAAAAGATTCGATAACATCTGCGAACACTAGGAAAGTATAAGCAATCATAAGCTATGAAAATTAGACGATTACTCAAACATTCACTGAGAAAACAACGCCTCAATACTATAAATCCCATTTTCAATAACTATAACATATAGCCAACAGTTTGCCAGCCCGATAAAGTGCTCATCGAATTTTCTGTGATTTATTAAACTACACATTCAATTTGAAGATCAAGCGAATGCGTTGAATTTTTCTTGTACATACTGAATAGCTTGCAAAAACACTAAAGAAACTATTATTTGTTTTTCGGTGACAATAGATCATTCATCATACTTGTTGTTAAAATTGTCGTTCATATGTGATTTACTAAAACTTCACTGGAAACTCTATGATTTATTGCGGTAATTTCGTCATTTTTTCCCACCTATGAAATAGACATAGCATCATTGTTTTCTCGTTCTACACGTTAGTGCTCAAGCATAATCCTTTCAAGAAGTACAAACCGGTTCCGGTACAGAGGGATAACAAACTACCAGAAAAAAATTCGCAGACTTTCCGGTCTGAAACGCTGCATTGTATGCGATCAATTTTCAGTGATTTCCTGCCGGATGAGTTGAGTTTCCGATACATTTCAATAGAAATTCGACTATGAAGTCATCGATCTGAACCGTGGTATTAGAATTCAAGATATTCTTCATGTCTAATGTAAAAAAAAACAAATCAGTCCTACAGCTGGAGTTAACCCAATATGAATCATCGCCTTTCGTTGAACTAATTTCTGAATTATACGAATATTTAAATTGTCAACAAGAACTTTTATGATTCTTTTTCAATTTTCATTATTCTACTTATGTATGTTTTTCATTCTCCTAGACGTGAAGTCATGAGATTTCTTCTTTCCAATATTCGATACTGGTTAGAAGAATTCAAATTTGATGGCTTTCGATTCGATGGTGTTTCGTCAATGCTTTATCATTCGCATGGCATTGGTAATAAATGATTTTGTTGATTTCATTCAAATAATTTTCTTTTTTTTTTTATAGCACATAGCTTTTCTGGTTCATATGATGAATACTTTGGTTTAGCAGCTGACACTGATTCATTTAATTATCTTCAGCTAGCGAATTATGTTTGTCAAACATTTTTTCCCGACTCCATAAGAATCGCAGAAGTATGTTTCATAGTGATTAAAAGATGAAGACCATTCATGTATAAATTTTATCCTGAAGGATGTCTCAGGCATGCCAACATTATGTCGACCCATTGCTGAAGGCGGTGCTGGCTTTGATTATCGTTTAGCTATGGCTATTCCAGATGTTTGGATTAAAGTTTGTTCTATTCTATCAATGTAAATGAATACATTCTTTCAACTTTTCAAGTTATTAAAAGAAAAAAAAGACGAAGATTGGCATATGGGAAATATAACATGGGCATTAATCAATCGTCGAGCATCAGAAAAAAATATAGCCTATGCTGAAAGTCATGATCAGTCGATTGTTGGTGATAAAACTATTGCACAATGGTTGCTAGACGAACAGATTTATAGTAATATGTCAATTTTCGACGAACGAACAGGAATTATTGACCGTGGTTTAGCATTTCATAAAATGATTCGTTTATTAACATATGCATTAGGAGGAGAAGGTTGGCTTAATTTTGAAGGTAAATGTATAAATAATACAAGCATGGTTCTTGTATGAGTTTTTTCTATTGTAGGTAATGAATTTGGTCATCCTGAATGGCTTGATTTTCCTCGAATAGGAAATAATGAAAGCTATAAGCATGCTCGTCGTCTTTTCTATCTATGTGATGATGAAAATTTAAGATTTAAATATCTTAATGCATGGGATAAAGCAATGAACGTCTTGGAAGAAGAATACAAATGGTTATCAGCGCAGAATACAGTAAATGAATTGAAACTCAAAATGAGATCATAATACTACTACGTACAAAACACACTACTTCTATGCAGGATATAGATGTTACTCTTGTAATAATTCGCGCTTAAATCCTTCCGCAAATGAAATCACGGAAATAGTTACGTGTAAGAGATGATATTCAAATCACTTCAGAGATGACAATGCACAACAATAATTACATTTCCTGAAATCTTACAATAAGAAAGTCATTCGAAAATATCGAGTAATGACACATAGGAACAACGGTTTGGCTATGAGAGGAAATAAAACATGCTTAAATAATCAATAGAGTATTATGATATCTATGAATACTCATTAGCATCTATGAACATTTTTTTAGTGTATTAGTCGACGAATCGAAACTGATAAAATAATAGTATTTGAACGTGGCAATCAAGGGTTAATGTTTATATTTAATTTTCATGGAAATAAAAGTTTTCCTGACTATCGCATTGGATGTGGTCAAAGTGGAAAGTAAAAATAATATTTGATTTTGATTATAATCGTAAGATTTTCTATTAGATATAAAATTGTGCTTAATTCGGATGCAAAACTATTCGATGGCCATGATAGAATCAATAGTGAACAAGTATTTTGTACGGAAAATATCAGTTGGGACGACAGACCATATTCGTTTAAAGTAATGTCAAATAAAGCTTTAGTTTGTTTTCAATATTAATTGTTTTGATTTAGATTTATGCTCCAACTCGTACTGTATGTGTTCTTGCTTTGGTTGACGACGAAAAGTGATGAAATATAGACTACTTGCGTTTTTTCATCTTGCCGAATCGCGGATACAAAATGTCTTTTTTTGTTTAATACAACAGTGATGAACTTCGATTAGCATACGCAATCATATCAAATAATGAACTTAACTTTTTAGCTTGCTGTGAAAATTTTGTTATTGAAAACTTGAATCGTTATATTCATGTTTTTTGCACTTCTGCTCAATTCTAAATCATCTGAGTCAATGTTTTCAATCATCCAATAAGGAATAAAAGACGTCAATGATCCGAATCAATCCTTATTAATATTTAAAAAACACGGTGTATTTATCACGCGAAAGAAATTGTTGTGTACAGATTCAAACAATATACAGTTGTTGATATAGCAAAAAGATGAAGTTTATCAATCTATGCCATGGATGAGTGATGATAATCGTAATAGATTATGACCAGGAAGAAAGCTGCAGAAAAAAAGACAGCTATCTTAAATTCAATGATGTTGCTTGTTAATCCACCATTTTCGTCCGTGAGACGTTAGTGACCATAGTAAAGTATATTGTAGATAGCAGACTTCCATACTCGTAGGATACATAATTGTCTTTCAGTATTCTAAAAGAGAATCGAACGTCGATGGATGAGAGAACATAAGAGATTCTGACTTTGAATCTTATTTTACAAAAGTCAAGTACTTTTTCGTATCTCTACATTAACAAATAGGTGTCATTTTTTCTTCATCAATCGATGCATTATTTATTATTCTTTGGTAGGTCTCAGTAACACTTCTGACAACGTATACAATCAGTCCTAATCGATGTCCTTTCATGACTTTATCAGTCATTTGTTAAAAACGAATTCAAATATACGAGAAGCCTTGATAATTATTCTTTCTGAACTTATCAAAATGATCTATCATTTCATCATGTAATGGTATTTAAAAGGTCTACTAATTAGTTTCATGATATGCTTAAAAGCGACAGACTAATACCACTTTCTTCATATCGGATTTTTATTTTGTTCAAAAAAAGTGATTATGTAACGATTGCGTCAAGAAAGATCATATCAAACAAATAGTTACACAAGTCATAAATAATTATTGAAACTGATGATTTTGATTTAAAAATAAAACAGAGATTAATCTTCAACATTTTTAAATTGATACTTTAGTACGGCAATTTGAGTTTTAATTAGAACACAATACCACAATTCCTTAAGCACCTTTGTCGAAGAATCGCCCTAGTGAATCGCTAGAGAGATTTAAGGGATTTCCTTAGAAATCTAATATAGAAGAATAACGACGAACTCATAAGAAGCATTGATATACGCTGTCGTTTATTGCTTCATTCGTTGGAGCCTGCCATAAATGTGTAGAACATTCAATTCTTCTCTTGCGCAAACATAAAAATAAAATTTTCTCTTCAATCCTATCTACCAATGAAGTTCCAAGTGTATTCGTGTTAGAAAAGAAGAGAACGAATGTAACTTTTTTTTACAAACTCATTCCTACATATGAATCTCTTATTGTAATCTATTTTAATACGAAGAGCACACTAATGTACTTCTTACTATTGCAGTTATTACTATTATAAATCGAAATCGAATATAATCGATTTTGTAACCTTACACTTGCAATACCATCATTCTTAAAACATTGAAATTAATCGCCAAAATGGGTGCGATTTTAATACCATAGTGATTAATAAAATTTTACAATGGCGTACAGGACAGTACGACTAACTTTTTTGCTTGTGCTTAATCAGTGGTAACAAAAACATAGTAATGCGTAAAAATAACAAGTAATATTATGTGCATGTTAATTCAAAACGAACATTATTGGTTTGTTTGCGATCTCATAATTCGAACGGTAGAATAAAATTGCTAGGCGAATGAAAACTTAGAAGTTAGCAAGAAGCCATATGACAAGCAATTGTATATCTTCATTAATGATTGCCATAATTTATTTTTATTCTGATCCTGAATTTTCTAAGGCTTTTTCTATTATGTCAAAAATTTGATGGATTTGATTTTGCGTCATGCAACCACAAATATAAATAAAATAAAATAAAAAAAACTTGTCTTTTGTCTGAATAGTGTCTTAGATGTTCTCAGTCACTTTAGACGAAGAAAAAATGTTTCCCTTTTGTATTCGATAGAAAATTGGCTGAAGATCCTTAGTAAATAACGACAGTGTTTCACATGTATAATTGCTGCTATGGATACGTTTACTATAATAATAATAATAATAATAATAATAATGTTGGGAACTATTTTTAGATTTCTTGTTGATATATTTTTGTAGGCATCTATCCTAATCAATTAATGAGGAACATTCACTCGAGTCATCGTTTAGTGTTGACCGTTCGTGTATTTTACTGGTAACACATGTGCAAAAAGCATTCAAGCTATTCCAGAATAAAGATTACGAGTCATATAAATAGTTGTATTGGTTGACCTAAGAATTACGAATGTATCTTTTAGTCTTGTATTCACACACAACACACACTTTCTCTCATTCAATTCTTCAAATAAGTATATAAAATATTATTACTATTTCTTTTTACTGAAGATTGACGATTGAACTCGATGACTGGATATATAGAGCGTAAGAATTTCTATGCTCGATATAAGGTTAACTCAATTTAAAACGAAGCATCATCGCGCACAACTATCGTTTACATGAATGTTATAGCCTATTTTTATTTGGCGGTCGAGATCGAGTTTTGTGTTGAAAACGTTTTCTCTTTCTGAGATTCTAGAAGAAAATATTGCTAAAGAATTGTTTTGTAAAACTAAGCTGGCTGTGAGCACAACTTAAATGGATAACGTTTTCTATTCCGAGAAGTTGTTTTTATTTAAAAATATCAAATAAAAAACTCCGAGAAAAACCGTATGATAGTAAGCAATCATATCACTGCAGTTTGTTAATCGTGATAAACGCTATAGAATTCGAGCTGCGTAATTATTCAGTGCACACTATGTACAATAAACTGCTCAAGAATTGCATAAATTTTGCTTTTGTCGAACGTAAGAGAGCGATTAATTTTTAAATCGCTTGATAACGAGTGTGGTACCCTTTAGAACTATCAAAATTACATAAGAAAATATCCTTGTATTGAGCATGATTATTTGCTAATGCCTATTATGGTCTAAAATAAAAGCGAGATGAGGAATAAATGCAATTGATTCCATCATTTATGTTTATTTTATGTAACACTCATCGTTTTTTTTTTATTTTCTAGCATTTATTAATTTTATTCTTGTAGAAATGAAACAAAAAAAGGAAGAAATGATTGAAATATTAGGTAAGCTATATTGTTAACTTCGATGATGTAATCTTACAACGGTTCTCTTTTTATTATTAAGTTACATTTACGCAAGCTCTATTTTTTTTGCTTGTTTACAACAGAGTTCGCTCGTCTGTTTTTGTAATTATTCTAGAAGAAAAGTGAAGCCTTTTTTCTTTTTTTTCTCTTTACGCTCGTTCTCTTGGTGTAATATGTAATATATATATATATATATATATATATATATATTGTCCCTTTCACAATCATTACAGTTCAAGGTCCGTTCAGGGTTACTTTTTCGTGAATGTATATTTGAACAGCAGATTGCATGAGAAAAAAAAGCAGAAAATGCGTATGTAATCAAGGTAAGAGTGTCAAATAAAACAAAAAAGCAATGAAAAAGAAAGAGAACGCACTATTTTGAAAATGGAAGTATAGTATCCAATTTAATACGAAAACGAACATTTCGAACAGTTGTTCAAGGCTATTGAATACACACGCATATATCTTAAAGCCTTGAGTGATGCTCGATCAACAAGTTCTTTTTTCTCCTTCTTTGCTTTGTGTATTCGTTTCTTGATTAAATCACATAGAGAACATTCGATTGCGTCATACACATTCTTTGTATAGTCGTTCGTTGATGATTGCATTTGTGTATTTTTGAGAGAGAACGAGAAAAGAAGAAGATAGAAAGAAGCAGAGAAAGCAATATTTGTTCTTGAACACACATCATCGCGCTATTCTAGAAAAGCAAGAAAAGAAGAAAATACCAGCATCAACAATGAATAGTAGCAATAGTATCTTCAAGCCTTGAAAGCCTCGTTGTCATCATCATTGTTGATGTTACTGGCACATTGAAGGTTGATTGATCGTCGTTATATTTTATGTATGTATATGTCTAAAACGAGTTTAACCTTGTCGATACGATATAGAACAATAAGATTCCCAAAATTCAACAAATCAAAGTGACCTTGACCGAACGTTGAGATTTTTCTTTCATCTTATTCCCTTATATACAGAAATTCAAGGCAAGTAAGGAAGGTCGCGTATGTTTTGGATGCGAGATCAAATGACTTCGTTTATCATTATTCGTTTTGCATAATATGTTTCCTATCATACATATAATATTAAGTCAATCTGTTGAAGTAAAACATACAAATGTGATATACTTCTTTTTTCTTTTCGTTTTTCGTTTTCTAAAAGTAAAATAATTCGAAAATAAACGTACAGTTTACTCGAATATTTATTTACAGATGAAAACAATTAACTATTATGATAGTTGATGAATAAAATTGACTACAGTTATTATTTGTCTATAGGATGAGAATCTGCGTGCTGTGTGGCGAATGTTTTTTCTAGATAATAGAAATTGAGTTCATTACATTCCATCTATCATCTCTATCTATGGTTACGTAAGATGAACAAGTAATAGCGTATCGTATATCTTTCGAAAGAAGAATAAGATAGAAAAAAAGTCTTAGATTGAGTTCGAAGGTTAATTCAAAATTCTATGCGCATTTATTTATCTCAAATATATCGTTTTTTTTCTTGTTTTCTAAGATCTCAAACATATATATATATATATAATGTTCATAATACCCTCGAATGTGTCAGAACGACATTGACTCGTTATTTATATTTAAAAATTAATTTAATCTGTATTAAATTTAATTGCCACTGACGTGAAACAAATTGAGGATTGAGCGCGTGGGAAGAAGAACATGAATAGAAAGCGAGAAGACGAAGAAATGTTTTTTTAATGTCATGCTTTTATTCACTTTAGATGTCTTTTCTTATTCTTGCGTGTTGTAGATCTGTTGTAGAATGATAATATGAACTAAAAATAGGAGGTAGGCGTTTACCCATTATTAATTATATTTTTCTTCTTCTGAAAATGACAACTGTTGTTGAAGAATAATAATCTTTAGCCTACGCTAATCTAGTGGTGTTCAATTATAAATAAAATTTCACGACGTTGTCATGAACCGGATTAGCATTTTTTTTTATTAATACTTTCTATATTTTTTTCTTCGAATATTACTGAAGAATCATGACATAGTGGATTTTATATGACTCAAAAATTAATGTCTTTAAATGTACTCTAAATTTTTTTTCCTTCTTCTTTTTTTATTTATTCAATGTGATTATTTCTCAGCAACGCAAAAGAATATAAATAGAAAAAAAGTAATTTATTCTTTATATGTTTTTGTTTTTGTTTTTATATTTTTTTCATTTCGGATGAGTGCAAGTGTTCATTTAGGTGAGATCGAAGAGTATTTTAGTTTAAGTATTTTATTTCTAAAAATAGTTGTTTATGAAAATTAATTTTGTTTTCTTTTCTTTGACTAATGATTCATTACGTAGCAACAGTCATAAGCAAAAAAAACAACAGTTTATTTGTTCAACATCTGTACTTCATACCGAGTTTTTCTCGTTTTGCCTTATTCATCACTGTTGCTGATTAGTAGCAGAGTATGTGCGGAGGAGAAAAAGCATATGTTGTGTGTATTTTACTATAGAAACAAGAAAATAGAAGAACGCGTATATACTTCATATCATAATATCTTATGTCAATAATAAAAACAGAACGCTTGCTCATACATACGCCCACTCATCGTTACGTAATATTGACAACCTTGTTCGCTTCTCGCATTCAACAGCTAGGTTTTTTTTCTTCTTTGCTGTCAGTGTATACTAGGCAAAAGAGAGCTTTTTGTTCTGCTCAAAGATGCTGTTTGTACGCATCTGATGCATATATATATATAACTAGTATGTATATTTGTATGGAAGAAAAAAACGTACATGCGTTTGGTCGAGATGCGACAGCGATAATGTGACAATACCACATAAAGAAAAAAAGACGTAGAGAAAATAGCCTTGTACTTTTAAGCATTAGGATAGGATGTATTGATGTGATGATTTCTCTTCGCTCATATACATATACTGTGTCCTTTCGGCAAAGAACCACAGATATGTATAGATAATATCTATCCAAACAAAATAAACAAACATCAGGCAATTGATTGCTAGGTGCTATATTGTCCGAAATTGCCTTTACTATTGCTATTCATAAATCTATTCTATTAGCATTATAGAATACAATTCCCTTCTTGTTTTTCCATTTGGTTTAAGTCATTGAGATAAACTCAAGAGAGTCTCTCATATTAGATGAATCGTTTGTTCTTTGTCAGATGTCACTTTGTAATTAATTTTGAATGTTGCTGTTTAATTTCCACCCGAATGTACTCAAATACAGATATTGTACATCCGTTCACAATATGTAGTAACATTTGTTTATTTTTCTTCTGAGATGATGATGATGATGCTGATGATAATGATGTAAAGAAAGCGAAAGGGGTGGGACATATGCTGAATAAAAGAATAACAAAATGAATGTGTTGTGCAATATTTTTCATTCGTTTATATGAAGTTCTTGCTTTCACCGACATATTTAACTAATAGGATATTTTAAGATTCTTTTTTTCCCCTTCTTCTCCTTCTTCTTTGTAAGCATGAGTAAGCTCTTTGAACACTATTTTGTTTTACGTAAAATGATTTTCTTTTTTTTACTCTCTGACGCCATGCGTTACTTGTCGTAAACTTTTGCGGTCAGGCTTATCGCTCTCATAAAAAAAAAATAAATTGTACGATGACTTTTGTTGCGCATATATGTAAGAATACGAGAGAGAGAGAGAGAGGTCGCGTGCTCCTTTTGTTTTCGGCCGCGCCGTATAAGCAATGCGCAAAAAAAAGTATGAGAAAGAAATGTGCATCGACGTACGCTTGAACACATAACAAAAAAAAATGAGGAGCGCGCTCGTTGGCGGAATGCATCATCGGACGACGCTCTCTGTGATGGTGTTTTTGCTCTCTCGTCGTTTCCATGCATGCAATACGAGAGAAAAAGACAAAAAAAAAACGAGTGCGCACAAGCGAGCGATAGAAGGTAGAAGGGTCAACTTTTTTTCTTCTTCGCTCCCTTTTTCTCTTCTTCTGCCAGTAGTGCAGCTAAGGGTGACATTTTTACTATATCCATTTCGAGAGACCCCAGAGAAGTTGAACTCTCTTTCCTATAATATTTCTTACGTAATTGCAATGGTTATATTTTTCGATCAATACACACACTCATGCGTTCATGCATACATACACCATATGGTTCCCACGAGAAAAAAAGACGATGAATTTCTTTTGGCCGTTTCTTTTTTTTCTCATTTTTTTTACATTTCCAGATGCTTTGTAAGTTAGTAGTCATTGGCGGCCAAATGGTCAGATAGTAAGTAGTGCCGACCATGCATCATTCTCGTCAACCTATTGATGTACCAGTCGTTGTTGATGATGACAACGATGACGAACTATCGAATCATCATTATATTCCATCAAGTAATGGCGATTATTCATCATTAATAGTTGATTCGCCACCAGATACAATGTGTCATCGAAATGTTTACACAGATCGATCACCATCGCCAACACCCTCAATAACCCGAACATCTCAAGCAACAACGCCTCATCGTCCAACTCGTAGACGTTTTTCGTATAGTACTTCACCATCCGATTCAACTGGTTCTGTTAATAATGTCCATCGTGATCGTTTACGTTTTAATACATGGCCACGTCATCGAAGGGAAAAACGTGATATATTTGCTGAATATGATAAACGTTTGGCTAAAACAGTTATACAAGAACTTGGCATTGGTATAAATAAAACTTATCGTAATCCATGGGGTAACCTATCCTATGCTCAATTGATTACACGTGCTATTGACAGTAGTCCATGGAAACGTTTAACATTAAATGAAGTTTATGAATGGATTATTAAATTTGTACCATATTTTAAAGATAAAATCGACGCTAAAACAAGTTGGGGATGGAAGGTAATTATTTAAGAAATATTAGAAGAAAAGAAAAAACACGTTTTTCTTCTTTCTTTTTTGTATACTATGGTAAACTGACTTTTTTCTTTGTCTCTATAGAATTCAATTCGACATAATTTATCTTTACACAATCAATTTATACGTGTACCTATTATATCATCATTATCAAAAGGTCCAGTTAAATATGTTTGGACAATAAATCCATCATTTAAAAACAATTCACCGTATAAAAAATATAGTTTAAAACGAAAACGTGCTGCTGCTGCAGCAGCCGCAGCCGCAGCTGTAGCCGTTTCAAATCTTAACTCTTCATCAACATTATCACACAATTCTGAACAGAATTTAGAATCTAATTCATCGTCAACAACATCTTCAACGAATAATTACCATCGTCATTCGGCAATATCTGTTACAAAACCTACTCGTTTATTAAATGAACATTCACATAGTAATGGCTCATCACCAACATTAAACCAATTGTCAGTTGCTGCTGCCATGATGTCAGCTGGAGTTACTGATCCTGCTGCCTATCGAGCATTTTTAAATTCTCAAGCAGCTACAGCAGTTATGATAAATAAACAAAAACAACACCAACAGCAGCAGCAACAACAACAACAATCTGCAACACAACCAACAACATCTTTATCCCATCGACATAATACAACACCGTATACACATGAATCAGGTCTTCCGATTCCAAAAAAAGTTGCACTCGGAGCAGATCGTTATAAACAACAACAACAACAACAACAACAGCAACAGCAGCAGCAGCAGCAACATGCTGAATGGCTTTTATCTTCCTATAGACAACAATCACAATCGTATAATACAAATCAACATCAATCATTAAATTCAAATAAAAATATAGTTAATCAACAACGTTCAACGTATATGCCATCAGCACCGCCTCCACCTATAAATACCCGCATTAGTTCCGATATGAATAATTTACCTCCAGCATTACAAAGACGTGGTAGTTCACCACCCACATATTCTTCAGCTGTTGCAGCTCAAAATAAACTATTAGCACAAACGAAATTTTGGCATGCTGCTGTTCAAGCTGCTGCTCAAGCTCATCAACAACAACAATATCATCATCAACAGCAACAACAACAACAACAACAACAACAACAACAACAAACGTCCAATAACTCTATCAATGAACTTCAAAATTATATTAATCGTGCTAATACAAATAATGTAAATCATAATAAAATGTCTTCATATTTAAACACTGAGGCATTGAAAAATGTATCTACAAATAATTCTCTTGATGAACAACTTCAGTATAGAAATGATCCGCGTTATAAATTAATGCATTCGTCATATTCAAATGCGATGAATGGTTCTATACCATCAGCAAATATAGTAAGACAAAGAAATCCTCAAAATAATGGTTCAGCAGCGCTCAACCCACAACAACAGCAACAAGCTGATATGCTTGCTGCAGTTTATCATAACTATCGACGACGTTCCAGTGGATTTTCATCAACAACAAGCCATGGTGGGCCAAGTGATGATGAAAGCGATGAATATATCCCGCCAAGAAAAGATTCCGTATGATATATAGATCTTCTTTGAAAAAAAAAAGAAAACAAAGATTAATTTTTATTTTTTTTTCTTCTTCTTCTATAGTCGACATCAAATGCATCAAGTGGTTATGAATCAGGTTTAGCGACAAGTCGTCAATCACCACCCACATCATCATCGACTCGTACAGGCTCAGGATCATCAATAACATCCGAAGCATCATCATCGTCATGTTATTATAATTCTAAAAATGGTAAAAGTCATTTGAAACAACGCTTAACAAAAATCAATTCGAACGGCAATGATATGGACGTCGACGATAATCAACAATTAGCATTGAATTCAGTTGGCGGTTATGTCGATGATCTTATGGAACGTATACGTAAAATGCCACCAAAAAAACGTTCAAAATTCTATCAAATGCTTGATGAAGAACGTCTAAAAGATCTTAATAATAATAATCAAGATGACCGTGGAAAAAGTAAAGCAATCAATCGTGATGATGAACACGGCTCAATAATGAGTAGAGCAATGCCATTGGCAGCTGCTGAAATGAATAGTGATGAAGAAGAAGATCGAACATTAATCGAAATATCATCGAATTCGTCGATTATCAATGACGAGGACGAACAAAAATTAAAACAACAATTTTTAGGATTAAATGAAAAAAACTATGAAGAACTTCTTTCAATGGGTGTTCCATTAAAAGTTTTAAAAGCGATTGCACTTCACAATCAACAACAAGTGCAATCGCATAATAATAATAATAATAATAATGCTCAATTATCAAGTTTTTTAACAAGTAAATGTACGGTTTCATCAACTAATGCTTCAATAGATAATAAGCGTTTGTTAAATGCGCGTACAATACTTCGAAGAATTTTACAACAACAAGAACAGCATGAACAACAACAACAACAACAACAACATTCAACTAATGATAAATCATTACCGGAACCAATGGATTATTCAACAGATGAAGAAACTGGTATCATTGAAGATGAGGATGACGATGATGATGATGATGACGAACATCAATCATCGTCCAACACACCTCATCATAGAAATAGCGTTCGATCGAATAGTCATAATCCTGTACCTGTTTTACTCAATTCAAATGATATTTCATCGTTATCACCATTAACATCTATATCATCATCACCGGATCAAAATGATGTTCATCATCAATCAAGTACCAATTCTTTAAGCCGACCATCAAGTACACCTGCTGCTCTTGTTTCATCTGCATGTTCAATCTAGTGGTGGTGGTTGCTACTACTACTGCTAGGTGCAGGTTATGTTTTTTTTCTGATTATTTCTTCAGGGACTTTTTCTTATCTACTGCTAACTGTGCAACTATCTATCTATTATTTCTTATTTTTCGTTCTCTCGTGTTCTAAACGCAAAAGAAAAAAATCAACTTGCCATCATCATCGTTGTCGTCGTTATCTTGTGCGTTTGCTCAGCGTGTCTTTTAAAAGACAGAAAACAAAACATAGAAAAAATATTCATCTGCTTAGCAGTTTCTTTTAAAGCCATTTATGTATATACAGGATGATCCTCGTAGAGACCCTTAAAATAGATACTATTGTTTTTAATTGTCTGTTGAATCTCTTGTTTTCGTGATAAAAAAAAAAGATTAAACAAACATTTTACGTACACGAATAATACAATTATCATAATTTCGTTTCGATCGAAAGAAAAATCCAAAATTGAGCTTCATTTTTGAATGAAAGAAGTGACTTGCCATTTTCTTTTCTTTTTTGCATTAAGTATTTCTGCGCATTTTTTTTTGTTGTTACCTCAAAAATTTGTCGTTGTTTTTTCGATCAGGGATTTCATTGTCAAAACTCCGTTTCATTTTCTTCTGTTGAAAAAAACTTGACTGTGGTGCGTGCTCGTTTTTAACGTTCGTTGCTGCAACAAACTTTCTAATGATGAGCGCATCAAAAATACTTTTGTACAAAAACCTGTTCTTCGTTTTCTTTCTTGTTCTAATAGTCACCTCATTGAGCAGTGCTGTTTAAAATAGATTTTGTTCTTGTCTTCAAACTAGGTGTGAACTCGATTTATATCAATCCGTTTCGTATATCCGCGTCTGCGTACATTTGAGGGTGTGAGTTTGATTTTTCTCTACTGAACAGTATCATTTTTATGATTTGCTCGATTCATAAATGAACGAGCATTTGTTTTTTCTTTGTTTTTTGACGATTGGACATAGCCTTCTTTTTAATTTCGTTTTGTTGGTTTATGTATGTATTGATTTATGATTTTTTTTCCTACATGTGTCTCAATTTTCCAGAATTTTGTCATTGGTATTAATTAATATAATCTTTAATTTGATTTTTTTCATTTGTCTTTGTATGTCACGGTGTTGATTATATTCTCCCTTTTGTTTGCGATTTAGTACATGTGTCGTTCCCCTTTTTTTTTCTATTTGTCTATGTTTGTAACGATTTTTTTTTCCGAATAATAAGATAAAGAAGCGATGATATTGGTATGATTATAGGGCTGAAAAAAAATAGGAATATCGAAGGTAGGTCGTGAGTATTCGAACTTTGTTCTTGGCTATTTATTTGCCGTTATGTTTAATTCTAAGAAAATCTCAAGTGAATTTCCGAGTATTGCTCACTGGACATGATGAGCTGCAAAAAAGGCAGTTGTTATGATCTACATCATTTCAACGTTGAGCGGTCTACCATGAAAAGTATCCGACAATATACAATATTTTAATATGATCTCAAATCATTTCTCGATTATTTTTTATTCTTTAAAACAAATCTGACACAATGAACTATAAATTTATTGTTCGGTAGAATCACTAGTGGCACTCGTTTTTATAGCTTCACGCCATTGTTTAGCTAAATCCGGATTTTCTGCTTCCCATTTAGCAGAAGTATTCTGTGCAAGCCAACCAGTTTTATTAATGGTTTGTCGAAGTTGTGATACAAGATCGTCTAATTCATTTTCTGTACTTGCTGGCGTCGTACTTGTTTTAATGTTGCTTGAATTATCAGTAGTGGACATGCTCTAAAACAGAATCATATGTCTTGTTTTTATTTGCCCGTGTTAATAAAGTTTAAAATTAAGAAAAAGATTTAGACGCTGATTTATTTACTTTGTAATAGGTGACTAGAACTACAAAAAAAAAGATGTGATAAGTATAATAGAACATCATTGCTTTTCATTCCTATAGATTAATTGTTGTGCCGAGCAATTTAAGAAATTCAGCAAGCCATTTTGGGTGACCCGGCCAAGCAGGTGATGTAACCAAATTACCATCGACGACTACCTCAGTGACATCAACTTCAACATAATTTGCACCAGCTAAAACAAGATCTGGCCCGACTGCTTTATATCCCGTAACTTTACGGCCACTAAGAACGACAGAAACAGCAAGTAGTTGAAGACCGTGACAGATACTTGCGATAGGTTTTTTACTATCATCAAATTCACGTACAAGATCGCGAACTTCTTTATCTAATCGAAGATATTCAGGTGCACGTCCACCAGGTATTACTAATGCATCATAATCTGTCGATTTGACTGATGAAAATGCTGCTGTCAATGTAAAATTGTGACCACGTTTTTCTGTATATGTTTGTTCTTGTTCGAAATCGTGTACAGCAGTTGCTACTGTGTCGTTTGCTTTTTTACCAGGACATACGACATCAACGTGATGGCCCACCATGAGAAGAGCTTGATAAGGAACCATCACTTCATAATCTTCAACGAAATCCCCAACAATCATTAAAATCTTTTTCGGTGCCATGATCAATCTAGAAAATAGTCAAATAGATGACAAGTTTATACTTATTTGTTTTCTTTTTTGCGAGATACAATTATGTTCATATTTATCTTTACAATACTTCGATTTACTAAAGTTGAATGGCTGCTTTACGATATAGTTTAATTTCTATGTGATATAGCTCTAGAGACTACTAGCAAATGAGTCATTATTTTAGAGTCTCAGAATTTCGAATCTTAAATGCTAAAAACGCGTGTATTAAAAACGTAGCTGATTTTAATAAAACAATCTATGATCTTTAGTGTGATTAAATTGGAGCGATCAATCTTTTTTTACTAACGAAAACAAAAACATAGATTGTTGTTGTTGTTGTTGTTGTTGCTGTTCTTGTTTATATCATGTTAGTTTTCCGTTTGGAATGACATGATTGTGAAACAATAAAATACGAAAAACTAACAGTGAATCATTACGCCTATGGACGGACAACTTTAGAAAGACAACGAGACATAAGAAAAAAATTAGTCTATGCTGATTGTTCCTTGGAATCTGTTGCTTCTCCGCCTGTGCTTGTTGTTGGAATAGGTTCATCATTAGATTTCTTCGATTCTTGTCCATTCGTCTCTGGTGATGCTTCTTCTTCATCATCATAATCTTCTTCTTCATCTTCATCATCACCACCCATACCCATACCAGGCATCCCACCCATGCCCATACCAGGCATCCCGCCCATCATCCCGGGCATACCTCCCATGCCTCCCATCCCGGGCATCCCACCCATGCCTTAAACAATAAAATTAATAAATGAATAAAACAAAATTAAAATTAATAAAATTTTCATTACCTCCAGAAAACATATCTTGAAAGTTACCAGCTGGTCCAGCCTTTTCATCGTCACTTTCATCTTCATCTTTCCAATGATCAAAATCGGTCTGTAACCAATGTAAACGTGATTTATCTTTTGTTAAACGTGGCCAAAAAGCACCCTTAGCATCTTTCTTCTTTAACAATAATCGCCAGAATTTTTGGCCGATAATTTCATATTTACTCGTTTCTGGATCGATCTTTTCGTATAGATCAATTTTAACTGCATAAGCATTTAACCCTTTAGGATTTGATGATGAATGACCTTGAAATGATACTGAATCTTCTTCGAATTTCACATCAACTTTTTCAATATCTGGCACAGCAATGGTCAACAGAATATGTTCATGTTGTTGAGCCCAAAGTACACGCGGGATTTGAGTTTGTTCAGGCATAATCGAATACTAGCTAATGAGACAACAACAGCAAACAGTACGTAATAAGACAGTGAAGTGATTAATGGGGGTCTGGTATTTGTTTATTTTTTTTTCTTTTAAAATAAAATTCTACTGTGGCGACCTCATATTTAATATTCTTAGATTTTTTTATTGAAATAATTTTTTTAATTTCTCTATTTATTTTTTCTATGGGTGATTTATACTGATTTTAAGTCAATTTTTAAAATCATTCATAAGTCAGCGTGTCACATTAATGATTCGTTTATTTTTTTATTAGCTTGCTCATTGCTGATAATACAACGAAAAGCACCAACTTTCATACAATTCATCAAATATTTATGATACCGACTTATGCTCAGATTTTTGTTTCTCTAACAACAGTTTTAAAAGAATTCATTGATCTAAAAAAAAGAGATGAACGTGACAGTTCATTTGAGTTCAAATCTAGAAATAATGATTACGGCATTATCTTCGTTCAAACTACTTTTGAAATGATAGAATGACGAAAAGTAAAGAATATTTAACTACAAATTTGAATTCTAGTATTAAAGTCTTGTCATAAAATATGAAGTTCACCATTTTTTTCAGATCAGCTCACTACTAATAAAACAAGAAACTACATTCATAAAAAAATGGCTCGCGAAAGTGATCAAGTGAGATAAAATCTGATTAAGAATTCAAATATTAATATAGATATTGATTTGACTCATAGGTTTTGGGCATTTGTGCTAATATGCTTGGTGTAGCGGTGTTTTTATTGGTCGTTGCTTATCATTATGTTCATGCAAGTAATCCACGTAATCAACGACAAGCGAATGAATAAATTAGATTAGCAATGTATAACTTTTAACATGGGTTGTTTTACTTTGTAATTGTTACTTATTCTGTCTTTTTTCTTCTTTTCGCTTGTTATATTAGTTGGTTATATTCTAGTTACCATTGATGATCATCGGGAACATTTTCATTCTATTCTTGTTTTGTGTTTATTAAAGAAAAGCAAATTATTTGATAAAATAAACTTGAAACGACGTAATATTCTTTTCCTTAAATAGATAATTAGAGATAAACGAATATCTTTTTTACGAAGACGAAAAAGATCATCATACTATGATATCAGTAATGCAGGTGACAAAAACATTGGCGCACCTCTGTTTGTCATGAGAACAAACAGGCACCCCCATGTACTCACACCCCTCTTTCTTCTGTTGATGAACGATTTTCCTGAGTCCTGCACGTATATATATATATGCCGTAACGATTCTTAAGATCTATCACACCTAGTTTTTTTTTCAAACGAACACAACTTTTCTTTAATATAAAATACAATGCCGTGCCCTTGTGAAGGTATGTAATTCCATGATAGAATTCTTTCTTTTGTTACCTAAGCATGATTCTTTTCTCTAGCTGGAAAATGCACATGCAAAGAAGAATGCATCAAAACAGGCGAATGCACATGTGACGAGAACTGCGACTTATGTAATAAGCCGAGTACGATTTTTTTGATTAAAGTTATCAATCTTTAAAATTGAATAACTTTTAGAACCAAGCTGTGATAAAGAAGAATGCAAAACTGATGGTTGCAAATGTCCAACTGCAACAACAACTCCAAGTGACGCATAATTCCAAATATGGAGAGACTATTCATCATGTTTATTTTTATTCTTATATTAAAAAGATGCATTGAATAGATTTTTCTTATTCAAAAGATTGCTATCACATGAATGACACACTTTTTTTCTACTAAACGAATATCTTAATAATCTGAATTTTGTTTGAGACTTTCTCATATAGAGCATAAAAATTGTTCACCGCATTCTTGATAATAGGCATCCCTAAAATCAAAATGTTGGAGACTTTTCTTTTGAGTATCAAGATATGAAATGAAATATCTTACCATAGAGGATGTTGTTCTCGTAAAAGATGATAAATAATAAAAATAGTCCATAGCATAGTACCAATAAGTATTGAAAGAATTGCCCAACGTAGTGCATGTCTTCCATAGATAGCTGCTAGTTTAGGCCAATCAAGAAGCGATGATGATCGTTTCATTTCACTGGCCTGCATCGCGCGTATCAAACCAAAGATACCCGTTGGAAAAAAACAAAGAAGACCCATTATTGAAATATATAAATGATCTTGAACCATACGATTTGTATCAAAAGATATTTCATTATTGTTAGTTCGATTTTCATTGAAGCTATTTGTGTTAAGTGATAATTGCTCGAAATTATTTTTAATAGGACTCCTATGATTTTTCTTTCGATATTTCGATTTTAATTTCGTTGAATTGACGTTTTTCCGCGAGCGATGATGTGATTTTTGTTTTTTCCTCCTATGAAGTTTTGTTATGGAATGTGTTTGAACATTTTCACTGGATTTAATAGTCGAACTTTGCTTTTGAAACATCAATCGAAAATGACACTTATAACATATTGTAGATCATATCTTTCTCAGAACGCGCCTAGAATTTTTTTGAACAAGAGTACAGCTATGACAAGTGACTTCTGGTGAGATTCTATTCTACTTCGACGTAGAAGACTCGTATAAATACAAAACAAGCGGAGGTGCTTAGGAGAGAAAGGAGAAAATTTTGATTTGATCAAAGATAAGTAATAGTAATGGAAAACAGAAATTTGTTAACAATATATTAGAAAAAACTAAGACTAGAGGCACGAATTCACTTACACGAAAATTATGCTTCTTATATCTATGACTATTGATACATACATTACACCATGGGTCTACCAGTGTTGATCGACCGAGGGTGTAAGTGTAATACAAAAGCTCTTGCAGAAATATCAGCATTTCCGATTTTCAAACAGAACATCATAGAAATCGAATTCTTAATATTTCTGACAAGTCGATGTGAAATTCAGCAATTTGGGTTTTTAAACTTATACGCAAAGATCAATTATCACTTTCAACGTATGTAAAACGCACTGCCAAAGTTAGTTGCTTTGGCCAAAATCCAATACGAAAAGAAAATCTTCCCTTTTTTTTATGGAAATTTTTGTATGCTCATCGTTTAAATGTATTATATATATTGACAAGCGAGTGGTTTCGACACAATGTATGAAGGCGTACAAAATTTGTGACAAACTACACAATAATATATGAGAAAATTCAATAGAAATGATTTTCCGGAACTCATTTGGTAACTAATAACGCTGATTGTGATGCACCGATAAATAGTTTATTGTAGGGAGTTTTTCTCTGCTGCGACTTTGTAAATATACTAGACAGTGTTAAATATGTATGACATCGGTTTAAGATGAGTTTTTTTTAAATTGATGTGGCGCGTATTTCTTGTTGAGAAAATCGATTAGTTAAAGTATCTGTTTTCGATACGCGCCAAACTCTCTTATAGGCATTTGCATTAGATAGAACTTTAGATGTTATAAAAATATATCAACGAAACATTGTCACAAAGCACAAGGTTCTACTTAATTACATTAGTTTTATATGAATTTGTTCAGCACATGCTCTAAAATAAATCAAAAGCACCGTTTTTCTTATCTATCGCCAAAATAAATTGTTCAAAACAAATTACTAATATTAACATTCACTTGTCTCTGTTTGCAACATTGCTGGAAAATTGTTTGCTAAAAACATTGAACGACGGATTTATTTCTGGAACATCATGATATCAAGGGCGAAAGCACAGTTGTCTGCTTACGGCCATACCACGTTGAATACACCAGTTCTCGTCCGATCACTGAAGTTAAGCAACGTCGGGCTCGGTTAGTACTTGGATGGGTGACCGCCTGGGAATACCGAGTGTCGTAAGCTTTTTAACTATTTTTTCAATCAACTCAAACATTTCTAATCTTTTAATAATACTTTTATTTGAACGACTTTCTTTTTATGAAAGAGCAAACAACATTATTGTATTGCTTTCCTAATTACTTCTAAAAAATCCGTTGGACTAATCTATATTTTCACTTTTAGTTATTGAAAAATAAAACTCGTAGTTCGAGTTGAAAGTCTCGATGACATATGTGTAACATCGTCTGTCGACAGGGGATAACGCTAGTCGTACTGTTCTAAACAATATTTGCCAGTTACTCTGATTTGCTGCCTATCTGCTGGTGTGACTAAACGAAGAACTGTAAGCTCATGCAAAGCATTGAACCTAAACGTTCACTAGTTTTGATCTTAGTTACAACAAAATTACAGATGAAGGTACAAAATAGCTCAGTGTTGTATTACAAGAGAATAAAGTAAGAAAAAATCTTCTCGCCCATACTGTGATGGTGGTTGTTCTTACTTTTGATGCAGACACTGATCAGTCTCAATCTCAAACGAAACCAGATTGGAAATAAAGGGGTACAATATCTTTATAAAGCATTACTAATGAAGACGGTAAAAGAAACAAAATCTTCAACTGTCTCATGTTAATCATTCTTATTTTTCATAGATACTCATCGAACGCGGCCTTCAGCTCAATCAAATTGTAGATGAAGGCAATAATCATTTAAACGCGCTAGAAAAAACAAAACAATTTTTGATTGTCACACGGTATCTTAAAAGACATCAAATAAATGTTTATCCTCTTATTTTATTCAGAGTTAGTTTTTCAGATAGTATCATTTTTCTAAAGAATTAGCTTAAAGATTAAAAAGAAACCCAATGCAAGTTCTATGTCAATACAGTTCACCGACTGGAATTTTCACAGAAAAACTCCTAACAAAAATTTGCAGCACTTTTTGAAATCTGTGTAGAACAACACATATCTATTTCTATTTTGATCATCACGCAATCTCGTTGAGTCCTTCAGATGCATATTTTTTTATCGAAGTCATGATAGAATGTAACATGAGAATAATAATAACGACAATAATCTATAGAATTTAATACCAATAAATTCTTGTATCCAATGCAATGTAATCACAGGCTGATGCTTTCAGATAAACTTGTTCTTAATTGAATTAAAGGCAAAAAAAAGAAAATTTTAAGAGGAAGTCCATTCATTTATTCATATTAGTGAAGCAAACTACCGCACTGATATTTTTAATGATTGCCGCTGCGTCTTCGATCATTTATTCTCTATACTCTATTTCCGCTAGCTGGCATTCCATCTTCGAAGATTCTCCGCCTGGCAAATACAGAAAAAAAGGAAATTTTTGTTTCCGCGTTTCATTGCCGCCACCTCGAGAAGGAAATCAACCAAGACAATGGGCATCATTGTCTTGTTTACAATAGACATTTTCAAGGTATCATCATCTCGCTTTCATACAATGCTCCTCGTCTTTTTGTTTTGTTTTTACTTGAATGAGCATTTATCATGTGTCACATTAAAATCGAAAGAATCAATACTATCGATAAATAACGTACATGAATTTATCGAGGCACAATGGATGAAATATTTGTTCGCGGAACAAAAGAAAGTGACAAATTAAATTATCACACTACGTATGTCTAATCAAGCGTGAATCATTATGATAAAACAATTGCATAAAAATAAAAGGTTCCATCTATCGTAACGATACTGTCTCGCTCGTATGGCACAGAGACATACCTAAATTTGATTGAAAAAAAACAACTTCAGTCTTAACTCATCAAGGAAACATTATCTGAAGCCAAACGTATGCATGTGCACAAAGGCAGATGTTATTTACAAAGAAAAAAAATAGTCCGTTGTCCTTTTTTTCAAGGTTACAAAAACGAAAGAATCGTTGTTTTTTTGTATCATTATAATAAGTGCTCATTTATCGAATTGCGTCAATGTCAATCTTATTTCAACGGTCCATATAGAATAAAAGACTTTCCTTTAATAATAATAGTTATCACCAGAGAGATCATCGATCAAATCAACGACATACTGCATTTATAAATATACACAATTGACTCTCTGAACTTCATTACGACAAACTACCTTGTGTGCACATACTACTTGATGATATTCTATATATTTGATGATGTAACCATTGGCATCAAATGTTGATATCGATATTCAATAGTTAGCGGTTGTTCTGTATCTATAAAATATGACTGAACGTTTGTCCAGATGGTTAGTATACTTAAAGAAACAAAACTCGTTTCTCATATTGTCCACGCCCATTCTTTCTTCGACTTTTTTTGTTGTTTGTTAATCACTCTTTCTTTCTCGTTAAGTCCATTTGAGTGGTAATATGCTTTGGTCCGTCTGTGTATGTTCTCATTAGCTCGTCTTCACTATTTGCATTAAGTTTCCGTCGCTGTCGCCGTCATCACACTATATATATGACGAACTGGAATTGTATTTGTACATCGAGAGAAAGAGAGAAAAGAAACTTTGAAAATCAATTACTTCTAGAATGCTGATCTCAGTCAAGTTAAACTAAACAATCATGTTAAACTATCCGTAAAGGCATTTTTTTTTTCTTTCAAACATATACACATTGTGTGTTTATCCTTCCCAGATATACTTATCGTGGAACACGAAAGAAATAAACAAGGCTCATTAATCACTCAATTGAAAAAGAGAAAGCATTTTTTAATGAAGTCATCTAACGTACAATATAACGTCTATCTTTATGAGCATTATTGATATTCATATGCAACTAACGACCTTTTGAGAAAAAAAATGAATATAAAACTAGTTTAAATCATGTGATAAATGACAAAAAGGTGAATATGTGAAGAACCGATGGTGTATGAATCTGCCACTCGGTAGAAGAAGAAAAAATGTTTCTCTTTGTTCCTCTTCTCCTCTGTTCGTCGTCTTTTTCTTTTGATGGAGAGAGAGAGGAAGAGAAATAGAAAAGCAAAAGTTATCTTCTCCACTTGAAACAAATCAACTTGATTTCTTCTCCTTCTCTTTCTCTTTCTCTCTCTCTCTCTCTCTCTCTCTCTCTGTGTCTTATACGTACATAGAGAAAGACAGAATACAAAAAAAATGAAAGTAGACTCGCCGTGCTGAGAATAATTTCCGTTGTCCATTACTTTTTCTTTTTGTGTTTGGTATTCTTCAAGCATTCAATTATTGTATGTGGATTCAAAAGATATAAAGAACTATTTCAATCGTCGATGCCTATCGAATGTTGTCTGTTGTCATCATTACTCTTCCTAATACAACAATTCCAGTTCACTTATCAATTCGAAACAATTCAAACGGCTCTATCCAATACTGCAGAATTAGCCTGCTCAGTAACAAGCCCAAATATACAATCGACAAATCCTGCAAAGGTAAATGCCAATAGGGACAGATGATTAGGAGCTATTTAAACAACAACAAAAAAAGAAAGAAACAGTTTCCTAAAGGCTATATGATAATAATGACATCATAAGTTATGAACAGCTGGCGAACATATAGAACGATTTTCTTTGTTTTATATTTAGATTGTCTGGATTCGCGATGATCAAGCAGATATTGTCAGTCTTGATTCAATTATAACCGTACGCGATGCACGCTTAAGTATTCTACCTATGAATAATATCGATCGTCAAGATAGAATTTTACGTATAACAAATATTGAAGAACAAGATCATGGATTATATCGTTGTATACATGGTGATATTACATTGAATGAAATTTTTCTTGATGTACTCAGTAAGTGTTGTTGTCATTGTTAAGACGATGATGTGTATTTTTATATGATCAGATGATTGTTTTGATCCTTACATGGATTCATTTTGACAAAAGCAAACATACGTCTGAGGTGTGCGCATTGTGTGTGTATGTTTGACTGACCTTCTCTCATCACGAGTGTTGTTGATATGCACATAGACATACATAAATGAAAAGAGACAAAAACAATCCGCCTTATAAGTTTACATTCGGATCTTATGTGTATATGAACGCGTGTGTTTGTTTGCATTGTCCCGCCCTCTTCTTCTTATGTTCAATAGGGGGTCTCATCAGACATTTATAAATCTGTGAGAAATATATTTGACATTATGAAATCGCTTAACACCTTTTGTAGACGTGCGATTTCCGTAAGATAAATATAAAAGAAAAAGATCGGTAATTTCCGTTGATTAACGATTATATTTATATCTAATCATTTCATTGTGTTTTGTTTACTGGCAATTTATCTCTCGACTGATTATTCGCGTCATTTAACTTTCTCAGTATTCTTTTCTTCTTCTGTTCGATCAGTATGTGTGTGTTCATATTCTCATTCTTTGTCAAACGAAGGTGATAGCAAGAGTTACTTACTGTCATAATATACAACCAGCTGTGCATTGAGTGTACACACACCTTCTACTAATTGTTTTTCAAGTACGACACATACACGTTAGTAAGAAATGACTATTCAATGAAGCATTAAATGAAAAGAATATTAACTTATTCTCTAGACGATAATAATGAACATAAGAAAATGATTGATATGATCAATCAGTGAATATTCATCAAGAATCACGTTCATCATATTAGTGCATTGATGAACACGATTGATTTATCTCTACACATGAGACAACCTATATTTCAATATCTCTCTTTATAGTCCCACCTCGAATTGTTTCTCATTCACCAGAACACATGCGTATGACAGTTCGCGAAGGTCAAGATGCCCGATTCTCGTGTATAGCAACTGGCCATCCAACACCTAGTATTATTTGGCATGTCAATGGTTTATTAAAGTCAGATACAGTGACTATAGGTAAATAGAAAATCGGAGACATCCGGTCATACATCACTTTTCTTTTCTTCTTTGTTTAGTCGAAGGTAAAAATGAAAGTATACTTATCTTACGTAATGTGTCCCGTTTTGATTCTGGTCGAGTCGATTGTTCAGCCAGTAATACATTAAGTACTGTCAATCGACAGTTTCTCCTGTATGTTAAACGTAAGCTAGAACTTTTTTTCTTTCTTTCTTGTACTTTTTATGTATGTTTAAAAACAAATATTCAGATAAACCCATAGTGACAATTCCATTTCCATTGTTTCATTATCAGTTACATGATACAGCAACAGTAACATGCCAAGTTTGTGCTACACCACCAACGACCATATTCGATTTTTTTCGTCCGAAACAATCAACTCCACTAATACACGGAATTAAAGAAAAAATCGATGAATCATTTAATGAAACATGTAAACAACTAACAATAACTATTTATGCAAGTTTCCATGCAGAATAAAATAATAGCGAAAAGACATTTTATATTTTAGTTAAATGATCCATCTCTATTCGGACCATATGTCTGTCGAGCAAAGAATTTATTAGGTTTTAATCATGCTGAATTTATGCTTAAAGGTTTTTATCGAGATTGTTATCGATGAGCTTTGATTGTTCTGTATGTTTTTTAGAAATAATTCAATCAACCAAGCACATGAAATACGTAACAGAACGCCGGCCTTCATTGCCTACGATTAAGAATTCATCTCCAACATCGACGTTTACGACTGATAATAAGAATGAATCACGTAAGATTTTTTTCCACGGGAAATAAAAATAATAATCGGATGTATTATTATGATTCTTTTGTTTTGTAGCTAAACGTAACATTCAATCAAATACAATTGTAAATGAAAGAATAATTGGAAAAAATCAATCGCATAAATCGTCGATGTCAATTTTATTATTAATAATCTTATTCTTTATAATACTCTAGTCGTAGAGATAGATTGTTGAAGAAAAAAATATTATTTCTCTTTTATTTTTCTCCTGTTCTCTTTTTTAACAGTGATTAAATAAATGCCCAGAACTGTTTTAATATAGATACTATACAAAGAATGTCTCATCATTAATCTCCTTGGCTAAATTTAAAAAAAGAAACTAGATTATCTATTGAAATTTATTAACAATAAGAAAAAAATACATGAATAAATTTTATTTTTGCTCTGGTTTATGTAAATGCTTTGCTTTCATATCAATCAAAGGTAGATTAAGTATTTTATGTAATAGTAAAGTTGACAATTGTTCGAATTGATCGATATCAATATTTTCATCATGAGTAGTATCCGTTTTATTATTTAGATCTAATAATGATTCATGTTTTGAAACAGCTAATTGTGTATGATTAAGAATTTTAATATTTTCTAACAGTTTCATTGAATGCTCATCATATTGATTGTATTCATTATATAGTTGTTTCAATTTAACTATTTCATTTTCTAATTGAATTTTTTCATTTGTTTGTTTATCAACAATAAGCTTTAAAGCTTCTAATGTTGATAAGGGTCCAGAAATTTTCTAGAAAAACAAAAAAATAATATTTTCCTTTGAAATTGCCTTGAAAAATTTACGGTTAAATATTTATTTTTTAATTCTGTTAATTGTTGATCAAGTTCCATATTCGTTTTTGCACTAGCTTTCGCTACGTCACTATCAACTTTAATTCGTTTTTTAGATGTTTCCTGATTAAGTTCTCCGTTTGATAGATAGGTTGAACATATTGTCGGTGTTAATAATGCATCATGTACTGTCGATTGAACAAGTTCATGGAGTTCTCGGTCGATTTCTAATTGTACATAACGTTCGATTTCATTTCGTACGTGAACTTCAAGTTCAGCTATATCATCAGCTGAACAAGATGGACCTTGTGTTAGAGTAGCTTCGAGTAGATGCAGAGCCATTCGAATGAAATAATGAAAACGCGTTGATAGTGAAACAAAGACATTGCTTTTTAGTGACGCCTATAGACTGCTTGATAACGAGCAAAAAAACGTTCCTATTGACTATTTTCAACCAATAAAAATGTTCAATAGGAGAGCGATCGCTCGACATGTTAATGTTTTGAGTAAAACTTCGAAATACGAAGAAATATTTACTCACATGTGATCTTTATTAAAAACTATAGATGGATAAATATCGCGTGCCAAACCGTATGAATCTATTACGTGCACGTGAATATGGTCTTGAAAATTCTTTTGTTCATATTGAGCAAACACGGCGTATTGCTGATTTTACTCTATGCAAATATCGAAGTTTAACACCTTTTCATCATTCATCCATATCTACCATGTGTTTAGAACAGTCAGAATGTCGATAGTAAGTTGAAAATTGCATCATGCCATTTTTAATTATTTTAATTCATCTATTAAGTCTATTATCGGGTGATGCTAGTGGACATATATGTTGTCATGATATGTTTCCTTCAAGTTTAGTCGCAACACATCCAATCATATTTCAAATCGATCGAAATTCTAATCGGGATCATCATACACATAAAATTTGTTCATTGATATGGTATCCGAATGACAATGGTTTATTCATCACCCTTGGTTTAGACAAAAAACTTAAAATATGGGATACTAATCGAGTGAAAGTAAATAGAAAAAAAATAATAACATATAAGTCAGTGCTGTTTTTTTCCAGATGGCTGATGAATATGAATTTGCTAATTTCGCATATTCAGCTCATATGGCACAGACAAGAAATACATCGCTTATTGCAGTTGCACATGAAAATGGAGATTTACGTTTAATTGATATTCGAACTGGCTCGAATTCACATATAATACATTCGCATAGCGGAAAAGGAATCTGTTTAGTCAAATGGTTTAATAATAATCCAAATCTACTAGCTAGCGGAGGGTAAGAAAATTTTCTATTGATTTACATTTGCATTTTTGTAAGGGAATATTATTTCAAATAGAGCTGATGGACGAGTTCTATTTACCGATATTCGTAGTTCTCGTACATATTACATGGTACTCGATCCTGATAATGTATTAACAGATCATCCACAAATGAGATCTCGAGCAACCACTGCATCAACGTCGTCAGTAGCTCATACTCGCGGGATTAAGTCTCTCGAATTTTTGCCAGATAATTCACATTTATTAACACTCGGTGCAGATAGTCATATGTATTTATGGGATGTAAATAGTGGCCAACGTTTACTTGTTAATTATGGTCGAATACCAACTGATAATGTTCGTATCAAAACATTAGCATGTACACAAATGAAACATGATCGAACGAAAAGTCTTGTCTATGTACCATGTGGAAAATCGATTTGTGCTTATGATATTCTATCTGGAGAACGTCTAACAACTTTAAGTGGCCATTTAGTACCGGCTAGTACCTGTATATATAATCGTCTATCTATCGAACTTTATTCATGTTCGGATGATATACTTGTTTGGGCTGCTATTAAAAAGCAACAAGAGAATTATGAATTATCAATGAAAACGCAAGAACGAAGACCAGAAACAACAAGATCTTTAGCACAAATATTAAATCGAGATCAATGGAGTGATGATGAAGATGAAGTTTAAACCATAGTTATTTTATTGTTTTTATTTTTATTTATTTTCTAAATTTATAATCGGGAAAGGTCGAATGTTATCTAATATCCTATTTGATAGTTGTTAACTACGAGATGACAGTAGATGGATCTTTTACAAAATTCCAATCGCGATAATATTCTCAAGCTTCTGGCGCATTGTTTTGATTACGAACCTAATATCATCTTCAAATCGTTTTGAAAAACTCTTTTGTAATATTAATTTTCGAAGGCCTATTCAAAAGTTTGCGATGTGTATAAAGATAGCAGCAGTGAATAAAAAAAGCTTTTTTTATTTTCGTTGAGTAGAATTTAATCGTCGAGATTGTGACGCAAAATTTGTCTTCAATCGAATGTGATCACCATGATTTTCAACTTGCTCGACTTTTGTCATGGTTCGTTGCTGATTAATAACGAATAGAATAAATTTTAGAAATAATTCCGTTAAACGATTTATGGTATTATTAAATAAATAATCAATATCATTTTCATATCTATTCAAGTAGATTAAAATAAAATGATGAAATAATAATTGTGAAACATTTTTATAGGTTAACCAGAAAATAAAAAATAATTTTATTTCATAATAAAATGGTAAAATTAATGAAATAAATTGATCGAAAATCAATTCATATATTTGAAATAAACTAAATAACATCCAATAACATAA